GCAGCAGTCGACTCCTCGACCCTGCCTGCGGAAGCGAAAGGCCCGGTTGCCACCAAGGCGGCCCACAAGAGTGCGCCGGCCACAGGCGGCGTGACCAGCCCGGCACGGTGGTGCTGCACAAGATCCGCCGCTACTGGAAATCCACGGAGCTGCTGATCCGCAAGCTGCCCTTCCAGCGCCTGGTGTGCAAGATCACACAGGACTTCAAGACCGACCTGCGCTTCCAGAGCCCAGCCGTAGGTGAGCGAGGCCTACCTGGTGGGGCTCTTCAAGGCACCATCATGCCCGAGGACATCCAGCTCACCTGGCGCATCCATGGGGAGTGCACCTGAGGCCACAGCCCATCCGCTTTTTTCTTCCGATTAACATCATGTTGGTAGAGCACCAACAACTGTTATAAGAATGTTCTTGTTCAGAGCACCTTATGTTTTCTATTCGAGTTTTCTATTGAAGATTGTTCTATTCGAGTTTTCTATTGAAGATTGTTCTATATTGTTATATTTTACCTAATTTAATTGTGCATAGGGAGGGGGGAAATGTGGTAGTGAGGGTCTGGCGCCCGGAAGATATCGCGTTGTACGGGAAGACAGGGTCCCCCTCCCGATAGCCAATAGCGTTCAGTGCCCAGGTTATATAAGGCTGTTTTTCCCGCCAATAAACGCCATTTGCCGTCCACCACATTGGTGTCAGCGAGCCGATGGACCGAGCGACCTGGGATTGGTCGCCGTGCCGTTCCCGAACCAGGTCGCCACGCCTACGATAAGCAACACCAGGAGATAAAAAAGAGAGGGAAAAAAACTACCCTACATATTAACAGCATAGCCAGCCCTGGCCCTGTGACTAATGAAACAAGGCACGTGACAGGCCATGTACTCTGGGGAAGAGGGAGAGAGTAGAGAAGTAGCAGATAGGTCTAACAAAAAAAAAAAACAACAAAAAAACAAAAAAAAAAACACCAAAGGAGCAATAATTTACTAAATCCAACCAAGTCAAATAAAATGAGAGAGAAACAGAGCATAAAATACAGGTTCTTACACAGGAAAAGCACATGCCTTTTTCTCTGCTTCGGTCCAGCCGGGAGCTTTGCCTTCCTTCCTTTGCATTCCAGGTCTTCCAGGAACGCTACTCACCCCCTCCTACCTGAGAACCCAAAATGTCCATAAAGGTAGTCCACAGAGCCAGAACGTGAACTCTTTAACTCACTTTATGTGATGTTCTCATGTGGAATACTAAGAACAAAAATCACAAAACCACAGCAGAGATTCTTCCCTAGTGGCAGCCAGCCCTTAAATGGGGTCTAGGAGAGGTGCAGCCAGGCTCCACCCTTCCATTCACACAGCTGAATTGCCTTCACCTGTGCTCCCACAGCTGACTCAGTCCTTGCCTCAGGTGATCAATCAATGGTTTAGTCCGTAATTCAACAGCTCCCATACACAGGGCCACGAAATGACAGATGTGTGCCACTGGGAGCAGTGGGTGTGCAAAAAAAAAACAGCACTTGCTGCATTCCCAACAGTGATTTCAGCCCTTTGCAGTCTGGGCTGCTCACACAGATCTCAGCATCTGCTGTGTCCACATTGAGATCTGTGCTCCCCTATCTGTTCAAAGCGTCACCAATTGGCACTGAGGACAGATGGGATCAAAGTATGTGGATTATCACAGGTCATCCATCCATAAACCTCCCTTAGCAGACATTCATTTTACTCATTTTCTTTGTTCTATGGCTGTACAGATACTGTGATAGAGCACCTGGGGACAGGTGCAGTCCTGTGAGCACAGCTGGGGGCAGTTCAGCTGTTGGGTGGGGCTGAGCCAGGCTCCACCCCTCCCTGACCCCATTTAAGGGCTGGGAAGTGCAGGGGCAGCATCTGAGTCTGGGAAGTGCTTCCTTTAGGGCGTGGGGGTGAGCCCTACTTGATGGGGTGGATAGCATCTTCTTTATTGCCAGGCTGTAATCTCTTCCTTTTTGGGGGGATACTGACTGTATTTGAGGACTGGCAGTCATTGGTACCTGGAAATTTCTTCCTTTAGAGTGTGGGTGAGTACTGATCCTTGGAATAGGGTAAGTGGTTCTTTTTTTTTTATTTCAGGGCTGTGATCTCCCCTTTTGGGGGCCCCTAACCACATTTAAGGGCTGATAGCTGTAAGGGCAGTGTCTGAACCTGGAGACTGCTTCCTTTGGGGCGTGGGGTGAGCCCTTAGAATGGGGTGAGTAATTCCTGCTTTATTTCAGAGCTGTGAGCTCTATCTTTCTGGGGGGATCTCCAGCTGGATTAGAGCAGCTGTATCTACTGTATGTGTTGTTTCCTCTTCAATGGTTCTTACATCATAATCTCCAATCTGGGACTCCAAATGTGGTTTGTCTGCTTCCACCACATCCCACTTCATGGTTGTAATTCACAGTGCCATGTGTTAATTGCACCCATGCGGAGTTTTTTTAAGGGCATTCTGTGCATCGTTATTGCATATTAAATTATGTTCTCTGTCTTTTCTGACTTCATTTTGCAGCTCAATGGGCTTCTCTAATCAGTGGTGTGAGATCTGTGTAGCAGGTAATGGAACATCATGTGCCCTGTGTTGGTGCATTGCTTGTATGCAGGTAGGTTTGCAATGCGGTCCAATTCCCCCACAGTGAACATCCACAGCTGGATTAGGTTGCTCAGAGCCTGACCCAGCCTCATCTTGAAAGGGACAGCACATCCACCACGTCTCTGGCAACCTGTTCCACTGCCTCACCCCCCTCACTGTGGAAGACATTTTTCTTATATCTAACCTCAATTTTCCCTTGTTCTTTCCTTTATGTATTGAAAGGCTGTTATCAGGTTACCTCGGAGCCTTCACTTCTTCAAGCTGAACAGCTCTAGCTTTCTCTTCTTGTAGGAGAGGTGTTCCGTCCCTCAGTTAATGTTTGCGGCTGTACTCTAGGTGTGCTCCCACAGTTCCGTGTCTCTCCTACACTGAGGACTCCACATCCGGACGGAGCACTCCAGGTAAGGCCTCACCAGTGCAGAGCAGAGGGGTGGGGATCGCCTCCCTTCACCTGCTGACTGTGCATCTTTGGATGCAGCCCAGGATATGGTTGGCTTTCTGGGCTGGAAGGGCACATTGCTGGCTCATGTCCAGCTCCCACCCACCAGTACCCTAGGCCTTATGGGGCAGGACTACGCTCAGTCCTTTCATCCCCCAGCATGTTTTGGTGGTGGGTGTTCCCTCATCCCAGTTGCTGACCCTGCACTTGGGTTTGTGCCCACTACTCAGCCTGTTGAGGTCCCTCTGGATGGCATCTCATTCCTCTGGCGTGTCACTGTACCCCACAGCTTGGCACAGCTCGGATGCACTTGACCCCACTGTTTATGTCACTGATGAAGGGGCAATCCCAGATGTTTATACCAAACTGGGTGTAGGACCCCTTGAGAGCAGCCCTGCGGAGAAGGATGTCGGGATCCTGGTAGATGAGAAGCTGGATGTGAGCCAGCAGTGTGTGCTTGCAGTCCGGAAGGCCAACTATATCCTGGACTGCTTTAAAAGAGGAGTGGCCAACAGAGAGAAGGGAGGTGATCGTCCCCCTCTACTCAGCTCTTGCGAGGCCCCATCTGGAGTACTGTGCCCAGGCCTGGGGCCCCCAGCACAGGAAGGACGTGGAGCTTTTGGAGCAGATCCAGAGGAGGGCACTTAGATGATCAGAGGGCTGGAGCACCTCGCCTATGCAGAAAGGTTGAGGGAACTGGGATTGTTTCTGTTGGAGAAGAGAAGGTTCTGGAGAGACCTCATCACCTTCCAATCGAGCCTTCCAATACTTGAAGGGAGCGCATAAGCAGGAGGGGGAATGGCTGTTTACGAGGGTGGATAGTGATGGGACAAGGGGAAATGGTCTTAAACTGAGATGGGGTGGTTTAGGTTGGTTATTAGGAGGAAGCTTTTCATGCAGAGGGTGGTGATGCACCGGAACACGTGCTTTAGGGTGACTTCCAGGAGGATGTGCTTTATGATTGTTCCCAGCACAGAGGTGAGACTGACATGTTGGTAGTTCCCAGGGTCATCCTTTCTGCACACCCTTGATAGCAGGTGTGCTGTTGCCTTTTTTCTACTCACTAGGGACTTTACCTGACTGCCATGACTTATCAAATACTGTGGGAACGTAAGGAAAAACTGTTCAGAGCAGCAGTTCTGGAGTCGGGGGGCTGCACAGAGCAGCAGCTGCGGAGCAAGATAAGCAGCATGAGAACCAAGGACACTTTCAGAAGAAGAAAGAACATCTCACAGCTCTGATTGGCTAAGCACCTGTGTGAATGGTTAAGGAGTGTTTTGCAGAATGCTCTTTTAACATGTATAAATAAAGTAGTGCTTAACAATAAAGCAGACAAATGCCACTTCAAGGGTATTAGAGGAATTTCCAATCATGAGCTTTGCTTTTGCAATATGTATGAGCTAATTATTTCATGTATAAATAGCCACGATATAATTAATAAAGTTGAGACCTGTTGATCATGATAGCATGAGACTTGTCTCCCGTGGTCCTTTCTCCGACAAAATACCATCGAGAGCGGCTCAGTGACTGCAGCGGTGAATTTCTTCAGAACTCTGAGACCCATCTCGTCAGGATGCAGAGACTCCTGGATGTTTGCGTCCTCTGGTGGTCCAGAATCTGATCTTCCATCACAGTGTGGAATGGGGAGGTTGTTGGTGGGGCTGGCACTGCTTCCTCAATCCCCACCTACCAAACTGAAGGTGAGGGCTGTGTATAATGAGCAGTTATCAGAGAAGATGGAAGCAAAAATATTGTTGGGTACCTGAGCCTTCTCCTTGTCTGTTGTTCCCAGCTGCACTGCTGCCGGTAAGTAGCATAATGCAGAGAGTACAGCCACGTTGCTCTGAGAAAGGAGCACTATAGCGCACGTTTGTGAAAGAGGCACTACCCTACATATGGGGAGGAGTGCCTTCATTACTGTATCGTGTCCAACAGGTGGCAGCA